CCCATTGAGTCTTAGTCTTGGAAGGGGGTTTGCCCTGAGGGGAGCCAGCCACTTGCCTTGATGTTCCCTGGGAGAGCAACTTGCTTGTTGTTATAGTAAATAGTCAGACTGCCATTATCGTTTAATATTTTTCATGTAGGTCTTTCTTTCAAGAATTATCTTCTGTTCTTCTAGCCACTCCAGGCTGGACTGCTTGTCCTTTCAAGTGGAAATCTTCCACCTCTGAAGATTCTGCATTTGGTTTAGGATTCCACCTATGGTCTTATGTAATGCAGATGCTCCACAGGAAGCCTCTTTCACTGGGCATGTTGTAGCCCCATTTTTAGGTATTCCAATCAGAAGGAGCTCTGGTAGCGTAGTGGTTACGAATTGGGCTGTGAACCACAAGGTCAGCAGTTTGAAACTACCAGCAGTTCCATGGGAGAAAGATGAGGCATTCTGCTCCCGTAAAGATTTATAGCCTTGGAAACCCTGTGCAGGGTCACTATGAGTCGGAACTGGCTCCACGGCACATAACAACAACAACAACAATCAGATATAGGCAGAAGATGGACTTACAAGCTTTCTATGGTGATATTTCTGGCTATTCCTTTCTCTCCCCTTCAAGTGTCTACTTTATAATGGTATGCCAGGGAAACCAAGATTCAAAAGACAGCCATGCATCTTAACATTATTTCCTCCCTTTTCCCCATTCCAACCATATCTCAATCCCTGTAGGCATACAGTTTTCAAGGCTGTAAATCTTTTTGAGAACAGAAAGCCTCATCTTTCTCCCATGGAGCAGTTGATGGGCTTGAACCATCAACTTTGTAGTTTGCAGTCCAGTGTTTATCATACAGAGCCACCATGTTCCTGGCTACCAGGGGTGGAAGGGTGAAAAGGGAGCAATTTTTGCTTCTGGGGTAACGAGTTATGTTTACAGTGATTTAGAAAAGAGCAGTAACAATGGTAGTAAAATTTGAAGGCTTTAATCTCACTTGTAACACACATCACTTCTGCCATCTTCTTAGAATCAAGTCACTTGATACAGCCCATATATAAAAGAAGAGTATCAAAGAACACAAACTGTTTTACTGAACTTGCAAATTTCCCTCCTCTGATCCAACCATAACATGAAATCCCTTAATTTTCCTAAAGCACACCTCTGATCATATTACCTGTCAGCTCAGAAACCTTTCCTAGCTGCCTGCCCACAGGCCAGGGAACTCCTAAACTGACTTGTAAAGCCCAGCCACCATGGTTCTCTAGTTCCTACGCCACATAAATCCATCCTGTTCCTCAAGTACTAGCTACATTCTCTGGTTGGAGCCTTCCCATTCTCAGAATCACTTTCAACAAGCTGTCTTGTCTCTTTCCAATTTCAGGGCCTTTGTATTCACTGTATCTTCCCCTACATCTCTGCATGGATGACTCTTTCTCATCACCATGTGATCTAAACAGCCTCCATCCCTTCATTCCCTCTCACCCATTTCCTCACTTTATTTTCTTCACAGGACTCACACCCATCTGAAATTATCTTGTTAAATTACTATTTTCTGTTACCTTAATTGTTCTGGACTGTGAACCACAAAGTTGGCAGTTCAAATCTTCCAGCTGCTCTGCAGGAAAAAGATGCTGCTCCACAAAGGTTTGCAGTCACTGAGTCAGGACCAACTTGAGACAGCACTTAACAACAACAAAATATTTGTTCCTTAAGCCACCCTGATGGTGCAATGATTAAATGATAAGATTGCTAACCAAAAGGTTGCTGGTTAGAATCCACCCAGAAACTCTTTCGGAGAAATATCTGCTCTGTTAAAGACTTGTTGTTGGTAAGTGTTGTCAAGTCAGTTCTGACCCATATCGGCCCTCTATAGATACAGGTTTCCAAGGGGGACTGGTGAGTTTGAACCACTGACCTTGATGTTCAAACTGATCTTGGGGTCAAGTGCTTATCCTACAGCACCACACAGCTTAGAAAACCCTATGGGGCAGTTCTATTCTTTTACATGGGGTCCCTATGAATTGAAATCTACTGGATAGCATTTAACAAGCTCAGTGCCTGGCATTGTTGTTATTGTTAAGTGCCATCGAGTTGATTCCAACCCATAACAACCCTGTATAGGGTTTCCAAGGTGCAGCTGGTGGGGTTTGAACTGCCAACCTTGTGGTTCAAAGTCCAGTGCTGATCCTACAGTGGCACATGTGATCAATAAATATTTATTGAATTAAATGCATACTCTCCATAGAACTATTTTACAAAAGATCATACGCTAGAAAGAAAAAAAAGAGCGAATATATCATCTCCCTCAACTGAATTCCCACCCATCTTGCCATCTTTAATTTATCCTGGAGGGGTCCTTAGAGGACCCAGAGTCTGCATGTAACTCTCTCTCATCCTAGCATCCATCACAGGGCCTGCAAAACTATTGTTTGTTGAATGGATCAGTGGATGGAGAGGAGCAAGAAGGAGCTGTGGGGTAATGGATAGCTATTTTTTTCCTTACTGAGAAGTTGTTGTTGTTAAGTGCCATCGAGTCGGTTCCGACCCATAGCGACCCTGTACAGGGTTTCCGAGGGTGTAAATCTTTACGGGAGTAGAAAGCCTCATCTTTCTCCCGCGGAGCGGCTGGTAGTTTCGAACCGCTGACCTTAAGGTTCGCAGCCCGATTCGTAACCACTACGCTACCAGAGAAGAGTGGCACTTAATTCTAAATCTGACAAGTTGACAGTTTAGGGACTGACTACTCAGGTAATTTGGAAACTCAGATGATAATGATATATTACTGCTACTAGCTACAGAGTCAGAATAAGACCTTAAAAAGTAGTAAGTACTGAAAAGATGACAGTGCCCAGCATTTGTCATTTAAAATACAAAATTCAGAAAGCTTTTTTCCCAATGTTCACTACTTTGGGCCTTTTTTGAAAATGTCAAACCCCATAGGGGGTTCTGTCAATCTTATTTTGTGTCTCTATGTTGTTGGTCATTTGGGAATCTGGGAAATCTTGTCCCAGATAACTAATATGTATTGAACACTTATTAGGTGTCAGGGATGTGGTTACAACCATTATTCCATTTAAAGTGTAAAACAACCTACGAAGGAGAGACTGCATTATCCCCCCACTTGAAGGATAACCAAATGGAAGAACTGGCAAATGATTATAGGAAATTTGACTCCACAGGTATTAAATCCCGTTAACAACTTTCAGGCTGCAGGTGTGGAGATTCGAACTGGGAGATCTCCAGGTCTCAGCGTCCAATAAACCGGTTAAGGGAACGGATGCAGGGCTATGACCTCTTCCAAGCGCCCTGTGCCTTTAAGAGTAATTTCCCTCCCGCCTGGGATGCTCCCATTACCCTCGCTGACATCTAGGGCCTACCACCCACCTCCTCCAGCGCCCGTAAAGCCACACCTCGGCCTTTCTCAGCAGCACACCCTCCAGCGTGGCTCTCCTTTGCCCACCGGAAAGGGGGAGCTGAGGCCTGAGGGGTGTACGCCTCAGTCCTGGACCGTGCCTGCCGCTCCCCAGGCGTAATGCCACCTTTGGAACCCTAATTCTAATCCCTCCCATCGACCGGGCCCACCGCCCCATGAAGGTGACCTCCTCCCGAGACCGCACTTGCCAGGCGGTACCCAAGTGGGGTCACACGTGGGAAACCGGCTGTGCGCGCTCCCTCCCTGCCACGCGCCGACATCTGTCCACGCCCCTTTGGCTGGCTCCACCCCCGTGCCCGCGCACGCTTCTCCCGGCCGGCCGGGGCAGGAGGGACGCGCCCAAGCGGGCCCCCAGGTTGCCAGCCTCGCGGTGGGCTGGGACCTGGGATTAGAGCATCTACACATCCTCTAGCCTGGGGTCCAGCCCCAGGGCATGGAAAGCGGTCGTTCAGATCAGAGCCCTCAGCAGGCAAGAGAAGTCCCTAGCCTTTCCGAGCGCTTAGCTGGGAAGAGAAGGCTAGGACTTAAGTCCGCGTCCTCTATGCACCGTCTTTGCAAAGTGGGTGTCATATTCCCTTTCTCAGGATTCTTCTTACCCCCCGCCCCCGAATGAGAAAAGAAAATAGTAAAGGGATTCGTTCATTGGGCCCCAAAGCATTTGTTGAGCCCACGTGTACAAAGTCTGGTTACATCTCTAAACAAGATGTGTCTATTCCCTTAAGGACCTTGTGGAGCCCTTATCCTAGGCCTTGTCCTCCCTCACATCAATATTTGGCTCTGGGACGGTCGGAGACCTACGTAAAAGGGAAAGGGACGAAGGTCTTACTTGCCGGCAAGTGTCCCTGAATAAGCTAGAATTTCAAACACAATGTGGAGTGGGGGACGAGCTTGGTGTGCCCCCTCCCCCCCAACAGCCTAAGAAAAGAAACCGACCTCATCTTTCTCCCCCTTCCCCTCCGCGAGACCGCCCAACCCCGCAGCCTGAGTCCCGCCCCAAGCCCGCGGCCAGCGATTGGGAGATGCAAATACCGGCTCCTCTGCCCAGCAACTGGTGACGCGCCACCCGAGCGCTAGGCGTGGCCCGGCCGCAGCCCAAGCGGGCACCTCGGTGTTTACACGGGGCGGCCCCGCGCGCGCCGCAGCGGCCCGCAGACGGCGAGGGGGGAGGGGCGGGGTGCGCGCCAGCGGGGCCGCGCGGGAAGAAAGACACTAGAAGGCGGCCGCGGCGGGATAGGGAGCTGCGCGCGCGGTCCGCAGCAGTGAAGGCGGCTGCAAGGAGAGCGCGCTGGGGCTGGAGGGCGCGATTCCTCCGCCCCCACAAAACAATGTGTGTAGTGCAGCAGGGCGCAACTTGCCGGAGGCGGCGGGGGCGCGCCGAACCCGCCTGATCCCGCGCAGCTGACCTTCTACCCCCGCCGTCCGTTGGGCCGAAGCGCCCAGCTCCTCGCTCCCCAGCTCGTGGGGGCCGGGCCGAGCCGCGGGGCGGGGCCGCTCCTCCGTCGCCGCTGCCTCCTCCCCCCACCCCCAGCCGCGGAGGATGCTGACTGCCCCCGGCGGCGTCTAGCGGCCCCGGGCCCAGGCGCGATGGTGCAGCAGCGGGGCGCGAGGGCCAAGCGGGACGGCGGGCCGCCGCCCCCGGGGCCCGGGACTACCGAAGAAGGGGCGCGCGAGCCTGGCTGGTGCAAGACCCCGAGTGGCCACATCAAGAGGCCGATGAACGCGTTCATGGTGTGGTCACAGCACGAACGGCGGAAGATCATGGACCAGTGGCCCGACATGCACAACGCGGAGATCTCCAAGCGCCTGGGCCGCCGCTGGCAGCTGCTGCAGGACTCGGAGAAGATCCCGTTCGTGCGGGAGGCGGAGCGGCTGCGCCTCAAGCACATGGCGGATTACCCGGACTACAAGTACCGGCCGCGCAAAAAGAGCAAGGGGGCGCCCGCCAAGGCGCGGCCCCGCCCCCCCGGCGGCAGCGGCGGTGGCAGCCGGCTCAAGCCCGGGGCGCAGCTGCCGGGCCGTGGAGGCCGCCGAGCACCCGGAGCGCCCTTAGGGGGCGGAGCGGCGGCGCCCGAGGACGAAGACGACGACGACGAGGAGCTGCTGGAGGTGCGCCTAGTCGAGACCCCCGGACGGGAGCTTTGGAGGATGGTCCCGGCGGGGCGGGCCGCCCGGGGGCCGGTGGAGCGCGCCCAGGGCCCGTCGGGTGAGGGAGCAGCAGCCACAGCCGCCTCCTCGACACCGTCGGAGGATGAGGAGCCGGAAGAAGAGGAAGAGGAGGGGGCGGGCGCGGTGGAAGGTGAAGAGGAGACTGTGGCGTCGGGGGAGGAGCCACTGGGCTTTCTGACCAGGCTGCCCCCCGACCCCGCTGGCCTGGACTGCAGCGCCCTGGACCGCGACCCGGACCTGCCGCCCCCTTCGGGCACGTCGCACTTCGAGTTCCCGGACTACTGCACCCCTGAGGTTACCGAGATGATCGCGGGGGACTGGCGCCCGTCTAGCATCGCCGACCTGGTTTTCACCTACTGAGCCCAACGTCAGCGGGGCGCGCACGCCCCCAAACCAGCTGTTTACAAACAGGAATCAGGTATTGGGGCCCCTCGGAGGCCGAGGCTGGCACCCCATCTCCCGCGCAGCCTCCCCCCTCCTAGACGTGCCCATCCCCCTTTCAGTTCCAGACATGCCCCTCCCCCGCAGACACACCCCAAGGCTGCCCAGCCCCCACTCCATTACCATTTTTGCCCCTCCCCAACTGGCCCCCTCCCGCACAGCCACCAGCAGCCAGCCCCTCCGTTACACCTCCCGTCCTCTCCGAGGACCTGCACCCCTCCCCCACTTTGCACACGCCCCTCCTCGTGGCCGGAGGACACACCCCCTCCCTTGCTCTTGAATCCCTCCACTTTGGCCCATTCCGGCTCCCTCTTGGTTACCGGGGCGCTGCGGCTGGGAGGCACCACGAGCTCCTCCCATTCTCCCCCACTTCCCGCGGGAGGGAGAGGGGCATGCTACTACACCCCCAGGGTTAGGCCCCGCCCCCTCCTCGCGCATGCTTAATGCTTCTTGGGAGGAGGGGGCTGGTCCCAGCCTAGCCTCACGCCTCTGCCGCTTGCTTGGCGAAGGGCTGTAAGGAGAGCGCTCCTATGAAATCCTTAGCCCCCGGTGCTGCAGCCCTTCCTCTCAACCCGACGGGGCTTCTCTGCCTTACTGGGAGGAGCACTGGGAAGGGGAGAAAGCCGAGTTGGTTTGATGGGTAGGTTTAGAACCTGGGATTATCCCAAATGGCATATAGCCCCTGTTTCCTCTTACGGTGTTGCCCATATCCAGCTGCACCACCCCCATACTGCGTTACTGCACCCACAGCCTATTCTGGTCCCCCCAAAACGTCTCCTTCCCCACCTGGGAATTGAGGGTAGGACCTTTCTCTGGAAGCCCACCGAGAGAAGAAGGGGCTGCCTAAGAAAACCCAGAATGAAGACCGCTACCAGACTGTTTGGGGACAGTACCCCAGTTGCTCCGTTCCTCCTGGATAATTGCCCTATCACCTCAGGGTACCCTCCCAGCTGGGGCCGCTCCCTAAGCTCCCGCCCCTTTCAATCACCCCAGTCCCTTGTCTGGACCCACAGCCACGTTAGTCAGTGGGAGACACAGATACGTTGGTGCTATGGGGTTGAGACTGAGGCCTAACAGATGGGGAGGCAGGAAGAGCCGAGCTTTAAGTAGTTTTAGGCTTGAGAGGGACCAACTGGACCTAGTGAAATTGAGACTGTAGCCAGAGGGTGGACTATTTGCACCTCAATTTTTGCTTGTGAGAAATGGGGGTAGGAGAAAATGGTGTCCAGTTCAGGGTTCCCTCAGGACCCTGCCCCTGCTGTTATGCTTCACTCCAACCCCTTGCTGAAGCCCCGCCCCTTCGGCCTCTCCTCTCCCCCTTTTGTCCTCACTACCTGTATCTCACCGGCCGTGTGTTCATCCTCAGGGTGCGCACACACTCACTCATTCACACACACAAATCTCAGGAACAAACGGTCCCAGAGTCCTTCGGGACCCCTGCCCAGGGTCTCAGCAGGTCTCTGCCCCACGCGTTCCCGTCGCTGACAAAGCCACCAGCTGCCTCCTTTAAGCTTGGTGCTCCGGCTCTGGGCCTTTCTTGCGCGCGCTCTCTCTCTTTCTCTCTTTTTTAAGAAAAACAACAGGAAAAAAGACAATGAAAAAAAATGTCATGTGAGTGAAGAGGTGTCACTGTCTGTGGTCATGGAGAACTAGTCTCGTAGTTGAGGGGAGGGGTCCCTCCGTCTGGGGCACTGGCACCCACAGCAGGACCCGAGCCAGTATGATGCCAGGACTGAATAAAGTGTATTTGCCCCGACCTCGCCCTGTGGTTCTGCATGTCTCTGCATTTCCTCAACTTTCCCCAGTTTGCCAAATTCAAGTTCATATGATTTAGCTGCATGCCAGTCCCATGCAAGAACTGGGTGTCCCAGGGCAAGGTACTTGGGCCCTCCAAGCCTCTGACTCCAGTCCATTTCAGAACTCCCTGGTCTTCTTTAAGGATGGCAAACTCATCCCTTTAGGGGCTGGGCAGGAATCATAAATGAGGGAAAGTCTGGGTGGACACTGGCCTTGTGACCCATTTCAACGGGGTAGGAACACTTCACCTCCCTGTTGTGACCCTGTGGGGATGCAGCCAAGCATGACCAGATGTTCAGTTTTTCAAGAGAAGTCAAATCCATGAATGCTTCTATGAATCATATCAATTTAAAAATGAAAGCTGACTCAACTATCTTTAAATCCCTGTGGGCCAGATGAAATAGGTGTGCAGGCAGATTGGGCCCAAAGCTGCCGGTTTGAACCCAGCCCATAATGAGGATTAAGCAAGGTTGAGGCATCCTGCCCTACTCAAAGTTCAGCTTCACTTAACACCTGCATGACCTTGTCCATATCCCTGGCTCTTTGAATCTGTGTAAAATGGGAATGATAATAGCGTCTGCATGAGATGAAAGGAGGCTTGAGGCAAGAAGCCTTTAGAATGGTGCTCTATAAATTTATTAGTTCCTTGCCAGAGGAGAAAACTGCTTCAGGATGAGAAAACAATTTACAGGCAGTCCTACCAAAAGCCAAGGTCAATACAGTACCCCAAATTCTGGTTCATTCTGCAGGTACAGTGCCATTTGAGGCTACTGCCTCTTCTTCCAAATACCAACCTGCAGTTATTAGGCCATGAGGTTGGGGGTTGGTCCCAGTGCTTAGCAAAGTGCCTGGTACACACTGGCCTGCAGTGTAGATTTCATGAAGAGCAGTCTTCCCCACCCAAATCCTTCTCTGCCATATTTAAATCTGAACAATAAACCTGAGCAACACTCCTGCTTCCCCTGCAAGAGCAACGTTAGGAGTACAGACCTCATTTGGAGAGAGAGTCCTGGTGTGGTGCTGTGATATAAGGCACTGGAATGCAAGGTTGGTTTGAACCACAAGGTCGATGGTTCAAACTCACCAGCTGCTCCTTGCAAAAACTACATGGTTGCTGTGAGTCAGAACTTACTCAATGGCAACAGCAGGTCTGGGGCTGCAACTGCAGGAAATACAATTGACTATTTCCTCTCTGGTTGGAAGCATGATGGCAAACCATTTAAAAAGGGCTGAGAAGGTGTAGGAGATGAGGATGGATATGTAACACCCAGAATCCTTCAAGGAAGGACTTGCCCAGCTGTTGGAAGTAAGGCGGTGGGGTAGTTTCCAGCTCTTTGAGTATCCATCGTCCACAGCTGTAGAAAGTCACTTTGTTGGAGTTCATGGCCTTTCGGGCCAGCCTGAATCTGGTGTCTTGAGTGTGGTGAGAGAGAAAGGCCTGGCCATTTCCTAGCTGTCAGCCTAACATGGGGCAGACACAGGCAGTGCTCTCACCTGAGTGCTCAAGGCTTCATCAGCCAGCAATTCTTTCATCCCAATCCTGCTTCCTCCCGCTTCTTTTCACAGGTGTTCATTTGCAATAAACTTCTTGCTCTCCAAACTCAAGCCTCAGTGTCTGCTTCTGGAAAATTCAGACTGCAACAGTGGGTATTAAGGGCTGGACAAAGGGAGTTAGGACTCCGGGACCCCCAACTACAGCTGGTTACCTTGAATGCCCTCTAACACCACCTGCCCTGGGGCTGCACCCTTTCCCAGTCTACAAACTGGACATCAATTACAAGCTCCAGCCTATCCTACAGTCATTTCAGAACCCTCCACGGATGCAGTTCTCACAGTCCCTCCCTTGGTCACAGACACAAGGTCCCACTAGACAACATTGAGGGGAGGGAGGTTATCAATCTCTGCTTGTCCTTCACAGTGGCCTGAGAAGGAGGCAGGGTGGCAGGAGGGTAAAATGTCTGGCTGGGAGATACATTGTTCCAGAGCCCTGTAGGACCTTGGGTTAGGCTCTTGCTTTCTGCAATCCGGTTTCCACATATGGAGCCCTGGTGTGGCGTTGTGGGCTAATGCGTCAGACTGCAAAGTCGTTTGAACTGCAAGGTCGGTGGCTCAAGCTCACCAGCTGCTCCTTGGGAACCCTATACGGGGTTGCTATGGGTTGGAATCGACTCAATGGCACTTAACAACAACAACGTTGAGGCAGTAGTGTGTGAGTAAAGCTAGGAAAGCAACTGTTTTTTTGGCTTCCTTCCATTTCAGAAACTGACCTGGGAAAGACCTGCTAATGGGGTCACTGGGGACACCTAGTGGCTGGAAGGAGTAGGAAGTCCAAATTTGGAGCTCTGGTAGCGTAGTGGTTACGAATCAGGCTGCAAACCACAAGGTCAGCAATTCGAAACTACCAGCGTTTCCACGGGAGAAAGATGAGGCTTTCTGCTCCCGTAAAGATTTACACCCTCGGAAACCCTGTTCAGGGTCGCTATGGGTTGGAACCGACTCGACAGCACTTAACAACAACAATGCACTGGCTTTCTTTTTCTAACAAATCGCCACAAACTTAGCCGCTTAAAACAATACCCAATTATTATTTCACCTGTTGGTGCAATGGGCTAAGCAAGGAAGACAGTTGAGATACTCCTTGGGAGAAAGATGAAGCAGCTGCTCCAGTCTTAGAAACCCTATGGAGCTGTTCTCTGTCCTGTAGGGTTTCTATGAGCCAGAATCAAGTCAGTGGCCGTGGGTTTGCTGTTTTGGTTTGGTGGGCTGGAGCCTGGTGTTCTCTTCCAAGTCATTTTGACTTTTGGCAGATTTCAGTTCCCTAGAGTTACGAGGAAGGTTTCTGTTTTGCTGCTGTCTCTATTCACTCCTAAAAGCTGCTTGTCTTTCTTTCTATGTGGTCCTCACAAGCCCCATCACAATATGGTGGCTTATTTTGTTCAAGGCCAGTAGGAGAGAACCTGCTGCTTTCAGTTTCTTAGCTCAAGGAAGGCCAAAGTAGGCTTTTAAAGGGTTCCCCTGATTAGATCAGGGCCACCCCAGATAATCTCCCTTTTGAGTAACTGAAAATCAGCTCATTTGGGACCTTAATTACTTCTGCAAAATCCTTTCACCTTTGACATATC